GCTCCGCTGAGGTATCCGGCTGGGGCTGTCAGGAGTTGTTACCGCTGGCGCGGCTCCGCGCGGCTCCAGTCCCGCATTGCCTCGGGAAGGGAAAGGCAAAAAGGAAGAGCCGCGGCGGCGCTTTGCAATGGCAGCAGCGGCTCCTGGTTTTGCCTTTCCCTTCCCGAGGCAACGCGGGACTGGAGCCGAGCGGAGCCGCGCCAGCGGTAACAACTCCTGACATCCCCAGCCGGATACCTCAGCGGAGCCCGGGCGGTGCGAGCCTCGTTTCCTTGGGAGCTGGGAGAAGGCTGGCTGCTCCTTTCGGCTTCACGGGATTCGTTTCCACGGTGCGCAAAAGTGCCTCAAAAAAAAAAAAAAGTGCAAAAGTGGAAGGCGTGCGGAAGAGGGGGCGAGTATATAACAAACTATATTTTGAGTGGAAATGTTGGGGGGTCGTCTTATACGCCGGGTCGTCTTATACGCCGGCATATACGGTAGTTGTTTAGCAGAGTGATAGCATGGGGGAGGGGGAGGAAATGTCTTTGTGTCTGTTCTGGTGTGCAGTGCATTGTCTTGAGCGAAGAGTTGAAACAATTTATGTCCAGGATGTGAGGGTCTATAGATACTTTCTCAGCCCTCTTTCTAACCCCTGCAGTATATAGGTCCTCAATGGAAGTCAGGCTGTTTGCCATTGTTTGTTCGTTTGTTTTCCCTACAGTCCTAACTGTTCTTTGAAGTCTGTTCTGTTGGTTGCTGTGCCAAACCAGACAATTATCGAGGTGCAAATGACAGACTCAGTAATTCCTCTGTAGAACTGTATTTTTATTTTATTTTATTTATTTATTTTTGTCAATTGTTTACAAGATAATAGGTATAAGTATATACATAGTTATGAATACATGAAATGGGTATGTCTAAGAAAAATAAAAGAAACAATAGGACAGGGACGGTAGGCACGTTGGTGCGCTTATGCACGCCCCCTACGGACCTCTCAGGAAAGGGGTGAGGTCAATAGTAGACAGTCTAAGGTTAAAGTTTTTGGGGTTGGGGGAAGAAACCACAGAGTTTTTATTTTATGTATCAGCAGCTCCTTGGGCAATCTGAGCTTTCTGAGTTGGCGCAGAAAGAACATTCTTTGTTGTGCTTTTTTTAAATGATGTTTTGGACGCTAAGTGTCCATTTTAAGTCCTGAGATATTATAGAACCTAGAAACTTGGAGGTCTCTACTGTTGATATTGTGTTGCTTAAACAGAATCGGGCCTTCTGAAGTACAGGTAGCCCTCAACTTACAACATTTAATAACCATTCAGAGTTACAACGGCACTGAAAAAAATAATTTATAATCATTTGTCACCCTTACGACTGTTGAAGCATCCCCATGGTCATGTGATTAAAATTGGCAACTGGCTCATACTTATGATGGTTGCGGTTTCCAGGAGTCATGTGATCCCGTTTTGCAACTGACAAGCAAAATCAATGGAGAAGCCAGAGTCACTTCACAACCATGTTACTCACTTAACCACTTCAGGGATTCATTTAACGACTGTGGCAAGAAACGTCATAAAACAGGCAAAACCTGCTGAACAATTGTCTCACAAAAAATTGGGGTTCAATTGTGGCTGTAAGTTGACGACTACTTGTACCTCAGAATTTCAGGAAGGAAAACCAGTTTGAGTTCTCTTTTTGCCGACAGGTTTTATCCCTCAATTCTTTTCCATACTGATGTTTCTTCTTTATCCTTCTCTTCTACAGCCTTCAAACATTTTGCTGGTCCACCCTGACAGGGATGACATTAAGATCTGTGATTTTGGCTTTGCCCAAAGGATAAATCCATCACAGCCTCAGCACAGCACTTATGGATCTCCAGAATTTGTCCCACCAGAAGTACTGTCCAGGTCTCCAGTGTCAATGGCCTCGGACGTCTGGTAAAGAAATCCTCTCCCTTCTTGTTCCTTGTAGTTTTACTCTAACCTTCCTCACTGCGTTTGGTGAGCCTTCTTGAAGATCAGTGGAAAACCAAGAAGGTTAACTCTAAATTAGTAGACTTGCAAAATGCTGTGGATGTGCTTAGGCATTTAATGAAATAGACCATAATCTACATAATCTAGAACAATGTGGGATAGATAGCATCACCACCAGATGCATTCAAAACTGGCTGCCCAACCACACTCGGTGTGTAGTTTTCAATGGAATACGACTACACGGAGGGAAGTAAGCAGTGGGGTGTCACAAGGTTCAGTCTTGGGCCCAGTATTCTTCAACATCTTCATAAATGATCTAGATGAGGGGATAGAAAGAGAACTCATCAAATTTGTAGGTGACAGCAAACTAGAAAGAACAACCAACACGTTTAGAAGATAGGCTAAAGATCTAGAAAAACAATAACAGAACAGATTAACAGATTTGGGAGGGACCTTGGAGGTCTTCTAGTCCAGTCTAGTGCTCAAGTAGGAAGCACCATTTCAGGCAAATGGTTGTCCAATCTCTTCTTAAGAACCTCCAGTGTTGGAGCATCCACAACCCCTGAAAGCAAGTCATTCCACTGATTATTCTCACTGCCAGCAAACTTCAGGCTTGAACGTTGGGTTCTATCTAACAAGATGCAGTTTCTGTAGTGAGGAAAGTCCTTCCTGCATTTAGGCAGGAATAATTAAATGCAGTTATATAGAACCAATAGAGTCAATAGTTGCAACTGTGAGGCTGATCTAGGTGTACCAGTGGACAACCACTTAAGAGTGAGCCAACAAGGTGTTGTAGCTGCCAAAAGGACCAATGCAGCCCTGAGCTGCATCAACAGAAGGATAGCATCAAGATCAGAAGAAATGACGGTATCACTTATACTGCATTGCATATATGCTGCATTGGTGAGGCCACACTTGGAATAATGTATCCTGTGGTGCTCCCCATGATACAAAAAGGATGTTGAGGCCCCAGAAAGAGTGCAGAGGAGAGCAACGAAGATGATGAAGAGTCGACTCTAGATGCTAAGTGTTTGAATGACCTGGGTATGTCTAGTTTACTGAAGAAAAGAACCAGGGAAGAAATTATAACTTTCTTCCAATACTTGTCACAGAGAAGAGGGGAATCAATCTATTATCCAAAACACCAGAGGTCATAAAAAGTAGTGGGTGGAAATAAGAAGAAATTTCCTGGGAGTGAGAAGAATTATCCAGTGGAACGACCTGCCTCCAGAAGTTGTGGATGCTCCATTACTGGAGGTTTTCAAGAAGAGACTGGACAACCATTTGACCAGGATTATATAAGGTCTGCCTTGAACAAGGGGTTGGACTGGAAGACCTCAGAAGTCCCTTCCATCACTGTTCTGTGTTCTAATCTTTTGTGTTTTGGAATCGATCTCCAGAATTTACTGGTTCATGGCTCCGTATCGTTGAGAAATGAAGGAACAATGGAAGATTCTTCTGACAATAGAAGAAACCAGCTCATCCCTCATGGTAGGATTTCTCAACCGTGGCAACTTGATGATGCTGGCTTGGGAATTCTGGCCACCCATCTCAAATTTGTCAAGTTGAGAAATTCTGTTTCAGGGCACCAGAACCAGGGAAGGTCGGTCTATCAAGGCTTTACGGGAGCTGAGATTCTTTTCTGATATTTGTTTCTTTTCTTATAGGCCAGTTGGAGTTATTAGCTATTTAAGGTAAGCATAGGGGACTTTATCATAGTTACACACAATTCCTTGACCTATGACCCCAATTGAGTCCAACATTTCAATGGCTAAGCAAGACAGTTGTTAAATGGGTTTTGCTTCATTTTACAATCTTTCTTGCCACAGTTGTTAAGTGAATCACTGCAGTTGTTAGTAACACATTTTTAGGCGAATCTGGCTTCCCCGTTGACTTTGTTTGTCAGAAGTTGCAAAATGGGATCACGTGACCTCCCCCAGGACACTGCAACCATCATAAATATGAGCCAGTTGCCAAGTATCTGAATGTTGATCACGTGACCATGGGAATGATGCGATGGTTGTAAATGTGAAAAACGGTCCTAAGTCACTTTTTAAGTGCCGTCACAACATTAAACAGTCACTAAACAAATGGCTGCAAGTTGAGGATTACCTGTAGATCTTATCACCAACAAATGGCCATCCTCTGCCTTTTCTTTGCAGTTCTTTGGTTCATGACCATACAAACATTTTAAAATTTTGTCTTTTTTTTTTTAATGATCAGCTTGACCTGCAAGTCTCCCTTTGCTGGGGAAAATGACCGTGCAACCCTGCTTAACGTCCAGAATGGGATCGTTGCATGGAATAGCTCTGATTGGGATCATCTGAGCAAAGAAGCCAAGGATTTTATTGAAAAAATCCTTCAACCAGCTCCTGGGTAAGTGGATGTATATTCACTTCTCATTTTCATTTCAGAGAGATAGCCTAGGAAGGAGAGGTATTTCTAATATATGAAGTCTTTCCTTCAGGATATTAGAAGAGGGACAGATCTGAGGGGCAGGTGGGCTCTGGAAAAGCCAGCAGTCTCTGATGTCCTTGGTGCTCTCTGAGCTTGATGGTTTCCTTGCAGACGTTTCCTGACACAACTAGGGAACATCATCAGTGCTAGAAGGGAATAACGCTTGTGGGAAGAAGGAGGATTGTGCTTGGTCAGTGCTCTCTGAGCTTGGTTATTTCCTTACAGACGTTTCCTGACACAACTAGGGAACATCATGTCAAACTCTGGAATGCCCTACCTGATTCAGTTGTCTCAGCCACCAATAATCACAGTTTCAGTCACAAATGGACTTCTGTGGACCTTACTTCATACTTAAGTGGTTATTAGAGGGGGGCGTGCATAAGTGCACTAAAGACGTGCCTATTGTCTGTGTCATTGTATTTTTATTCTTGTTATTCTTGTTCTCATTTTTTTTTGACAAATTCCAATAAATAAACATAAATCATCAGTGCCAGAAGCGAGTGGGGTTGGCTCTCGTTTTATATAATAGCACCTT